CAATCCTCATCATTGCGCACCGGCGAAGTGTGTCAGCCAGCATGAGTGCGCACACTGTTGAAGCCGTTCTCAGCCTTTTTGTTGCACGCGTATGCGACAAAAAGTGGTAGAAAACGAGTAATACGAAGGATATAATACAGTAATGCACTTGCCCGCTTCAAAAACTGGTGCAGAACGATTTTGCCAAACCGCACCAAAGCAGCCGCACTGCCACGCCCCACCGGTCCGCAATGATGAGGACTGTATGGAAGAAGTTATGAGTGTTAAAATCATGAAAACCTAATAAGACACTAAATTTAAGCAACAAAGATAATTCTTGAAATGTATCATGCGTCAAGGATGCGCTCCAGCCTCTCTGCGACTTGGTACAACCCCCTGATCCCAACAAAAGTTTGAAAAACGAGATAGATTTTTGCTGGATCTCTTTTCCATCTTAATGCTTCGCATTCAATGTAGCATGTTAGTCGCGCACTGTTTTCTCATATTCTTCAAACAGACTTCCATCATCAGATTTTACCCAGATAGCACCACATAACTGAATCTGGTGAAGCCTGCTTAAAGACAGCCCCCGCGCTCGAGTAGTACATGGTCGTCCTTCCTTGTGCAAGTAGTACAGCCCCAAGCTAGAGACTGTCCCACTCTCGCGACTCCACAGCGAGCGAGGAGCGAGCTACAGCCGCTGAAAGTTCTAGTTCTAACGCAGTTGGACCGCCCACTTGCTAGATGCCCTCTGACGGAGGGCCGCTCAGTTGTTCTTTGTTGGGGCGGCGGGCATTAATCGGAATTGCATGCCCTTTTTGCTGACCGCGCTCGTGCCCATGAATGATTCTGCTCTCCTTTATTACATTTTATTTATTGGCACATACAGTCAACTCCAACCCATCTCGCAAGGTAAAACGCGTAAAAATCACGAGCGACCCAATTTTCGTGGTGCAAAAGCTCGACGCACTACACTACACTAAAAGATGCACGCTACCGTAACCCTAAATTAGAGTTATTTGGGAGCCAGCGGTTGCATAGCGACCGTAGCGCGGTGTAACTGTCAGGGAGCAATTTTTTGGGGTGTTCTTGAGGACTCTTCTTGCTTTTTTCTTCTCTGGGAGAATTACGCTGTTTCAAAATAGAAAAGCAATTATCCATGACACTTTTATCGCGAGAGCTGTCTTTCATTCATTGGACTTACTCTGTATATAGCATCGGCTGCCAAAAGGACATCCTTACGTATCGTCCGACTTCGCGAGAACGTACAGTGCGATTCGGCCATTAGTTGCAAGTCGTACATCAATGCCATCATGTTTGGATATCCAACCTCAAATCAACAAGCCGTGAAAAGAGCAGTCATTACTCTGTGTCATGGCGCAGTCATATAACATTCCGTTAACAACTGATCATACGATGGAGCCTATTGAGCAGTTCACTTTTTCAAAGATAAAACGGTACATTAACATCATTGGCTCACACTAAGAATCCCACAAGAAGAAGGTAAACCTGGTAAGTACCTGATTTTTTTTGTTAAGTTATAATCAGAAAACGCTACAAAATATGTGGTAATCAGGCATGACTTGCCGAGGGTGAAAATTTTCGGAAAGTACACTCTCTTCCCTCCTGATCCCCTCCTCCGATACGGACCCCTCCCCTTCCCCATCTTACCTACCAACTTCCTAGATTTGCCAACTTTTCCTTTACCATTTTTCCGGACCGGACTTTACCGAAAATTTCCTGGTTTTTCTCCAAAATTTTGCTGTTGAGCGGAGGGTGTGTAAGGGGAATGGGGGTATTACTGTGAAACCAGAAAAACCAAGGAAAGCCAGCAACAAGAAGAAAAACTTTTTTCCAAGGATGCAAATTTCTCTGGAGAACAAATACGACTCCCCCCCCTCCGCAAGGGGGGGGGGAGTCGTATTCGTTCTACAGAGAAATTCGCAAGAATTCTCCCAACAATATAGATAGCGCCCGTGGAACGGGATAAATCAACTATCAAAAAAAATTCCTCAGAGCGAACAGACCCTTTTCCTCAGCGACCAAATACGACCCCTCCCCCGGGGGACTCCCAACCTACGACGTAGTCTGATAGCAAGAGAGCACTCAAACCTGGATTTCGTCACTGTCGAGTGTCACCAGGTCAAAGCCAGCCTTGTTCAGCAAACTGCCGATATCCTGTGGCTTGATAAATGGAGAAATGTGCAGTCCAACACCTCCGGTTCGCTCCATCTGGAAACAACACTTGAGGAAAACCATAGCAGTACTTTGAAGCTGTTTTGTTATGATAACTGCTGTTTAACGCCGCAGTACGCGTTCCGAATGTTATCACAAGAATGCTGAGTTGTGGGCAAAAGTCGTGCCCCAGGCGGGAGTCGAACCCGCACCTCACGCTTTCCGGGCGAGTGCGCTATCCGTTACGCCGCTTTTACTCATTCAGCACAACGTCTTGCCGTAGCCTATTACTCACACGTTTATCTTGGTGAGCCGGTCAGCCGTAATCGTTAGATATCGGCAACGAACCGCAAGGCCTAAGGCTTTTAGAAATTTTGAAGTTTTATAGCACTGAGGGAGTAAAAGCGGCCCTGGTGGCGTAACGGATAGCGCACTCGCCCGGAAAGCGTGAGGTGCGGGTTCGACTCCCGCCTGGGGCACGACTTTTGCCCACAACTCAGCATTCTTGTGATAACATTCGGAACGCGAACTGCGGCGTAAAACAGCAGTTATCATAATATAAAACTTCTGGGTCGAATATATGGCAGCCTCGTTCATGGTTTGTTCTGAGATCTGCTCCGCCCCTGCTGTAAGATCGTCTTTGCGCAGGTGCTCGACAGTATGTTTCGGGCAGTCATGATAACCGAACCAGCAGCAGCTGATCCGCAAACACAGGTATCGCTACTGCCCAACCCCGCGCTCCAGGCTAAAAGAACATCTAGACAGTCTAAAGCGATCTAGACCAGAGATCCCCTAGAGTGGTCATCGTGCCATGGAAGCACGATGTTTCAGGTGGCCGTGAGGATTTCGATGCGAGAACCCCAGACTTATGCACGAACTTTGGAAGCGTTTTGGATATGCGCTAAAAGTCCAAAATGAACAAGAAGGACGAATGCCTCGCCATCACAAACGAGCTCGCCCCGTTTGCTGACCTGTGTGGGCTTCAATTGCCATCGGCTTCAGGTCGAGGGGCTAGGTCAGCTGAAGCCACCCATGGGGAGTCAGTTTAGCGGTGGTCTCAACCAAAACTTGCCGTGCATTTAGGATAAGCCACATTGTGATTGTAATTTATGACAATTTTCTGGACCTCTCTAGTCGAGGACGAACTGATCCGGTCGAAGTGATATTCGGGGGTAGCTCACACTGATCTTTGACTTCTCCAGGTTGTGAGTAAGGCGATACACCGAAACGTTAGAAGAACAAATTTGTTATATCATCTTGGTTATGGCTATAGCAGCATCTTAGAGATTGCTAGTATTCTTCTCTCCGACATATTTTCCAATGTACAGCTGTGAAGAGTCGTACTGTTCCCAGATAATGGTG